AGAATCGTGTGTGATTGGTTATAATGCGCAACACTGTAAAAACAGCAAAAATTAAATATGGTGCAACATGAGCAGATCTCAATTTAATGCCGCAATTGACATTTTCTATTCATTTTCATTTTGTTAGTAACAGTCCTAATAGATTTAATTTGTTTGTGCAGGGGCATTTTTGCCCCAACTCGCTGTGGCCCAGCCTTACACACGCTCCGCCTGTGGATGAGGTCCTCAAACTCATGATTTGACATCCTTTACCGACAGCTCGAGGGGTTTTCTCTGAGGAGAAGGGGAACATTTTGGATCAGAAAAATGATCAACATTAAAAAATAAATAAATAAATGACTAAATAAATATATTAAGAATCTCAATTTATTATTTATTAGAGATTATTTTATTATTACAAAAAAATATTTTTTATTTACGCAATGCAAAACACTGTGGATATTTACATTATATTAAAAATCATATTTAAAACTAGTGTTTTTTTATAGTTTTAATAAATATGCTATCATAAATATTATACAATGTTATATCATAAATATTATACAATGTTATATATAAATATACAGCAAAAAAATCTAAATAAAAAAACAACAAAAAAATACATGACACTGCATGTAAATATAATGCAGTAGTATTGGTTGCTTGTAGATAAATTGTGTAAATAATGTGTAAATATCAAATGGAACAGAAACAAAAAAATACATTGGATTAAAAAGATAAGTTTAATAAGGTTATTTATAAAATATATAAAAATTACATATGTATTTTATTTATTTTTTATTTAATTATTCATCTAAAAATATCACAGAGGAAAAATTAAGCTATATACACATATGCATGCATATATGCGTATTTTTCCTCCAATATTTTTTAGATAAATACAAAAGCTTTTTTTTTTTTTTATCTAAAAGAAAGAGGAATAAAATAAACTTTTTTTTATTTTTTATATTTACTCCATTTCTTAAATTTTTGCTTTTCCCATTTTAGACAAATAATTATTTAGAAAAAAACCTAATTATATATATAGAGAGAGAGAGAGAGAGAGAGAGAGAGAGAGAATATTCTTTGTACATTTTCTAATATTTTTCGATAATTGTTTAATTATTTATCTGAAAAATGTAACTCATTTAAAACTGAAAATGTATTACTTCCAAAAGATGTGGAAGTCTTTCGGTCATAGAACGCTTCAGCAAGGGCAACCCTGTGGGATTATGGGGGATTACTGGTTTGTCTGTCAATCCCAAAAATAGCGGCATACTCATAAATCTCAGAAAAGGGGATAGTGTGGAAATCTGTTTGTAGATGTTGTTTCTAAACAAACGCAAATGGAATGAAGAGTCAAGATTTATGGATTTGGAAAGGGTATTTCCAGGCCAGATGTTCAGATACTGGGAACAAACATCATCTGTATGTGCAAGAACAAACCAAAACTTCAGCGTCAGATTTGCAAAACATGCAATTAATATGATATTCAAATGAATTAAAGCATTATACAAACAAAGCTGTTAAAACTGCTGATAGAGTGCCATCTTCTGGCACATCCAGAATGAATAGGTCATTTTTAGTGGTGTTTGAGAAGCCGAGCATCACCAGTAGCCTACTATTGTTTTGAAACTTCAGATCCTGAAAATCATGACTGGGGTCTTTTGACGCCCTAATCAACTACTTAGCAACATTTTGTCAACCATTCAGACCTTATCAACAGTGTAGCAATGTACTAAAAGCCTCAGAAGACCCTTGTAACTCCACAGCAAAACCTTTGCAACCACCCACAACACTAGTATTGTGTCAGCAGGTAAACAGCTTTCTTGATCGGAATATAGATTTGACATGTTTTTGTACTGAAATGAAAATCAATCGGAGCGGATGCTGCTGACTGCTAATAGAGGAAAAGCATCATTAAATGTTACTCAGTTTACTGGGAAAAGTAGCACCTGATGTTCTTGAATAGTTGCCATGACGATGGCTAAACAATTAGACTGTCCACTGTGAAGCAGGTTCATGGTTTCTATTCTAAAAAATAAAAAAATAAAAAAATAAATAAAACAAAAAACATAATATAAACTGAATGAATAAAATGAAATAAATGAAAAAGTTGAAAAATAGAATAGAGTAAAAATAAATAATAAAAACATTAAACAAAAAATAAAATAGAAAAAGTTAAAGAACAATAAAATACAGTAAAAATCAATTAAACCAAACGGAATACAATAAAATTAAAACAGTAAAAAATTAAAACAAAATAAATAATAAAATAATAGATAAAATAAAATAAACAACATTAAAAACAGAATAAAATCAAACGAAAATGTTGAATGAAATAGAATAGAACAAAAACAAATAATAACATTGAATAAAAAATAAAATAGAATAAAATCAAATAAACCATTAAAGAACAATACAGTAAAAAAAAGCAAATGAAATGAAACAGAATACCATCAAATAGAATTGAATATGAAATAAAAATTAAACAAAAAAGAAAAAAGAAACATTTTTAATTTAAAAAAGAAATTAAATAAAACAAAAATAAAATGATAAATAATGAAATAAAACATACACTGTAAAATTTTGTAAAAACGCGATGGAAAAAAATAGGTTAATAGGTTAAACACTGCAGGGAAAAACTGTAAAATATCTAACCAGACATTTCATGTAATTTTACAGTAAAATGCTGTTAATTTGACAGTTTTTAGAAGTAAAAATAACAAATCAATGTATCATTTACAGTCAAAAACTGTAAACTGATATTCCCAGAATTCCCTGCATGACACTCCACATTTGAAAGTATTTTGTTTAAATAATCATGTTTTTTTAAATAGTTTTTGTTATTAGTTATGTATATTTGGGCTTTGTTACATCTTCTGTTGTTTAATGAATGTTGAATGCATTATTTAAGTATCATGTGTTACCATGATGGTGTTTTGTGTTTGCATGAATGTACTTCTGCTTGTGGTGAAGCTGCTTGTGATGAGCTTGGATTCTTCATGTGGCTTTCTCTTTTACCACCTGCATTATTATGGTGGTTGTCAGTATGTTAAAGGTACAAAACAGATTTTAATAGCAGTGTGCATTGTTGAATTTACTGCTTTACATTAAAATTTTTCTTGTTTGTAAATTACAGTTTTATACTGTAAAATTTACTGCCGTTTTTGGCCGTAAATGTGTTTACTGTTTTTCTGTATTTTTTACAAAATTATTCTGGCAACTACAGCTGCCAAAATGATTTTGTAAAAACTACAGATTTTTTTTTTTACAGTGTACTTTCTAGTATTCCATTTCAACACTTCCATCTATCAAGCAAAATGTTCTGAAAAATGACTAATAAACTAATAAAATCATTGTAATTAACATGCTGCAACATGGAAGGCCTGAAAGGTCAACCAGGTTTGATTAATATATTAGAGACATTCATTAGACTAATAAATGACATATGCACAGTTATTTCTTAGTCCTTAAATAGGACTCGTCTGACCATGTACTTCCAGCTTTTACACATGTAACATTTCAGTTCTAGCTTTGAAATATTTCTACTTTACATAACTCTAGACACCAGAACACCTAATATCATCACAACCAAAACCAACCACGCTAAATAACTCATTTATTATGTGATTATTTCTCCATTTTTATGCTATTACTGCGTGGTGGTAAAGTGCTGAGTTAGTCGCTGCAGTAATCAGATGCACTCGGTCTGTGGGAGCCGTAATCTGGAAGTTCACTGTGAGTTTAGTCCAACCTGTGCAAGACTCATTCGCAGCGTTTCTTTATTCCACTGGTTGCCATGGAGATGGCATTGCTCAAGTGCACTGAAACTACGGCATCTCACCTTCCAATCAACCTGACGACAGTTCTTTCACATATGTAAAGTAGCTACTATTTCAGACCCACCGCACCACATAAACACCATTATTTCAAAGGTATGATGAAAAAAGACAGTACATACAGCTGTCCCTAAACAAGGTGCTTTTCCTCAGGAGTCGCTTCCTGTTTGGTACAAGCAATGAAAAGCATTTTAAAGTGCTGCCATCTGCATGTCCTTGAGTTCTGAGACATTACACATGCGACAAATGCTGTACAAACCACAGATGAAGGTATCCGGAAGTAGTTTAATGGTGCAGTGTCCCTGTGAAACTCAAGATCTCTACACTGAAGCAATACTTAAACGAACTAACAACATTAATTGATGCGTTACAAGCTGCAAAACTAATTAATGGAATAATTGCAATAATTAAGCCCCAAAAACAAAACATAAAATAACTTACTATGTTAAATTAAGTTTACAGTAGTTTTGCATTAATAAAATGAAGCACAGTTGTTTCGAAATATTGTATTATTTTACATGGCAATCAATCAAGCACATCTATCATGTTAAAAACATACATACACACACACACACATGTGACTCTGGACCACAAAACCAGTCAGAAGGGTAAATTGAGATGTATACATCATCTCAAAGCTGAATAAATAAGCTTTCCATTGATGTATGGTTTGTTATGATAGGACAATATTTGGCTGAGATTTGGCTGAGGGAGCAAAAAAGTCTAAATACTGAGAAAATCACCTTTAAAGTTGCCCAAATGAAGTTCTTAGCAATAGATATTACTAATCAAAAATTAAGTGTTGATATATTTACAGTAGGAAATTTACAAAATATAGTCATGGAACAAGATCTTTACTTAATATCCTAATGATTTTTGGCATGAAAGAAAAATCTATAATTTTGACCCATACGTTTTTTTTGGCTATTGCTACAAACATACCCCAGCGACTTAACACTGCTTTTGTGCTCCAGGGTCACATATACATACATATATATACACACATACATACATACATACATACACACACAAACAAAACATACACATAATAATAAAAAAAAAGTCTCTGGACAGGTTTTGATGAATTCACTCTTGTGGTAGCAAGCCATTTAATCTTGCTCGAGATTAAATTGCTTCTAAATCAATTCTCTGAAACTCTGAAAGGGTCCAAATGTGTACCTGAAGTTCCTGAGAATCAGGGTTATTTTGAGTGTTGATGTTTTCGTGCTTCTCTCTCGCTCTCTCTCTCTCTCCCACCTGCCTGTTTCTCTCTCAGCATGTGAATCAAGCACCTCTCATTTGTCACTTAGATCTGATCAACGTCATGCCTGCAATGCAAGCACAGTCAAACACATTTACACTACAGACAGACGGGCTGCTGTGACACTGGCAAAACATCACCGACTCAAGTCTAAATTTCTGATTACACGGTAAGAACAAAATGTATTTTTTCTCTTCTTTATGCATTTACTTCTGCATTAACACTGCAAGACAGAACATATTCTACTCCCATGTCACGAAGTTGTCTGAATGAGGTTTGCTTAAAGCGTTGTTAGATGTATTTTCTTGTGTTTCACTGGTTCAGTTGGCACAGAGCAGAGAGCGCTTTGAACCACAGTACCTTGTTTAGAATAGAAACACTTTGCGACCTCTTCAAAATCTCAAGTGCATACTGAATATGACGTCTCGTACATCATCTTTCCATGCACATTACAAAAGCTTGAAGAATTGAAGCAAATGGCATGGAGACATTTTCTGATTTGTTTGTGCAAAACAGCTGGACAGGACTTTAAGTGCATAAGTGGAGCTTCTCTACCTGCTCCCAGTAGAGTTGAGCAGCTCGGCAGAACATCGCTGACAGGGTAGAAGTCACAGCTACTCAAAAGCAATCGTCATTTCCTCCATGGTAACAGCGTGCGAGCTGCTCATGACAACTTGTTCAAACCCTTGTTTTCACAGAGGAAATGCAATTGGTATTTGGACACAGTCAGTACTGATGTTGTTTCACTGGCAGACAGAGAGCTGTGGCTTTGATTTCAACATCTGCAGCATGCAACATGATTAAAGTCCACATTAAATGACATTTGCAAGCATTTTGCTTCTGTAACCTGATATTTCTGAGGGAAACTCGATATTTGATGAGTAAAGGAGCACGAGACACAAGAATCAGCAGAAAAGGAGTCATTTGAGAAGCAAAGTAAAGCAATGTATTTTGGTGAAAGATCGCAAAAACTACAGAAATTATCTCTGAAATAACACCAGGAATGTTTTCCAAGAAAACACTATTTCAGTTTTTCTACTTCAAAATTTCACATGTAATTGCTATTTCTTTGTAATCGATTGTGAAATTGACCAGCAATTTTTTTTCTAGTGCAAAATGGGTCAGTTTTGATTTCGTATGGCATCTGGTGAAATTTTGTAAAATATAGAAATTATCTTTGAAATACACAGCATTTTTTTGAGGTTGTAAATAAAGATTGGAGCAAGTTTTACAAGAAAATATTATTTCAGTCTTTCTACTTCAAAATTTCATGTTTAATTCAATGTTACTTGCCATTTCATTGCAACTATTTGTGACATTTACTTGCAATTTTGGTTTCTACACCATTTAGAACCGTAAACAATAACACCAGGAATGTCCGAATGTGCATTCGAAATGAGTTCATTATGGTTTCTTGTTGAAATTGACATGCAAATAAAAAAAAATACATATGAAAATGTCTCATTCGCAATTGAGAAGCATGGAAGCATGAAGTTCGCAAAAACAAAAGTACAAATGCTTTGGCAAAAGTAACTTATAATAAATGCAAAGAGACTTCTTTATAATGCATCGCTTAGATGTAGGACGAAGCTAACTGAATACAGTATCCATACCTTCCTTACATAAGCACCTACCGTCTCTCCAATTGACTTGAAAGCTATTCAAGAGCACTTTATAAACCCCAATCAGAGGCATGATGTTCTGCAGGCGTGTCAGCGCTCTGAGAAAGTAACACCAAGGACAGCAAACACAATGGCCTTTAGAAAGACGCTGTTCCTAAAGAAAGCGTGAGGAAGGCCAAGCTTTGCGCTCATGCTGAAAAGGACAGGCAGCACTAAGAATGTTGTCTGGCAGTAATGGCAAACAATAAATCCAAGGTCTGATTCGGTTTATTGAATTGAGATTTTCAGAAAAAAAATTGCTTGAGAGGGAGAGCTGTAATTCTACAAAAAACGAGCTTGTTGCTGAGCAGAACTGAATAAAGAAACACAGAAAGAGCGAAAGTGCATTTGGCTCCATTTTATCATCTTGCAGCATTTGTGTGCAACCAATCAAGCATCTAAAAACAAGCCGAACACAATAGGATCATTCAAAGCTACACGAGACTTCCATTGTGTAGATGCAATGTGTGTAATTTGCCATAAGAAGAGCTGGACCGTCTTCCATACATCCCTTGCGACAAATATCTAACCTTATTCCCCTCTTCACAGGCTTTGTCATGGCAGTATACGTGATCCCCGTCAGGTGCGAGTCTCAGTGAAAGAGGTGAAGATGGAAGGTCCACAAGTTGTCAACACTGATGGCAACTCCTTGCTTAAGGCCGTCTATCTAAGTCGTCTCCGTCTCACACGGCTACTCCTGGAAGGCGGCGCTTATATCAATGAGAGTAATGAGTGTGGCGAAACACCCTTGATGGTCACCTGCAGGAGCAGGCATACGGACCACCAAAGTGTCTCGAAGGTGAAGATGGTTGGGTACCTGCTTGAAAGTGGTGCTGATCCGAATATCCAAGACAAGAATGGGAAGACGGCTCTAATGCACGCCTGTTTGGAGCAAGCCGGTCCTGAGGTGGTGGCGCTGCTCTTGGGTAGCGGGGCGGATCCGTGTCTTGAGGACCACACCGGTTCTTCGGCTCTGATATACGCCATCAATGCCAGCGATGAAGAAACTCTTAAAATCTTGATGGATGCCTGCAAAGCCAGAGGAAAAGAAGTCATCATCATCACCCCTGACAAACTTGCATGCGGAAGGCAAACGGCAAAACAGTACCTACCTATTCCTCCGCTTGCAATGGTAGAACAATGGAGTTCCACAATTGTTCCCTGTGCTTCTCCATCTGATATTCTCCTCAGTACCTCTCCACAGGGGACTCTTTCTTCTAGTCCTACAGAGCACATGTTTTCCTTCCAGGACCACCAAAGTATGACCAATTCCCAGCCAACTTCTCCATCCCACCAGGTTCCCCTGGTAAACAGTCGATTGAGCAAAATCCACAATCTCCAAAGATTACACTCCGAGCCTTGGCTGAAGATCCCACAGTCTTTCTTGGCCCAACAGCATGTCAAAAGCACCTCCGCTACGGAGGAACTCCCGGACATCACACCCGAAGAGGAAATTACTTTCAGAATGAACAGATTGGCTTTTGATAACATGCCACTATCGCGGCATTGCAGTGTTGATTTGAAAGAAGCCAACTCTTTGAGTCAAACTCTACGGCAAGGAAGCAACGGTTTAAGACCGGAAGGAGCACTGTGCCGAAACATGTCCTTTGATAGCTTATCATCCCTGCACTCTTCATCCCATCCCAATCTTCACTGCAAAAGCAGTGCAGAAGCTTTACCGGCTGAGAAGGATCCGGACAAATCCCTGCCAAATTTGGCCGTGTCCAGTCTCCGTAACATCATCCAGAGAAGGAAACTAGGAATGGACCACTACAGCTCCGATTCCCAACTATCGGTGAGCCTCGACAACTCTTCAGAAGGCCGTAAAGGACAGTTAGAGAAGAGAAAACTTGCTAACTCGCGTTCTCCTACTTTGGTGGGCTCCAGGGAGTCTCTTGAGAATGCTTCGTTGATGCACTTGCACAGGAGGAATCCCATCAGCTACGAGCGGCGAGGCTCCGGGGCGCTTTTGGATCCCATCTCCCATCCTCGAGCTGGTTTCCTCCCTCCGCTGAACCAGCATGCACTAATCCCAAACATCACCGGAAGTGGCAACCCAAGAAGCATCAGCTCCAACAACAAAGCAGTTTGTGGCGTAGCAGCAGGGACAAAGCCCTGTATTCCCTCGGCTCCTGCGGGTTTTCCAAAGGATCTCAAGACCAGGAGGATGCTGATGAGAAGACACTCCATGCAAACCGAGCAGCTCAAGCGACATGGTGACTTCACAGAAATTTTTGGACACTGAATGGTTGCCACTGTTATAAACCGTAACAAAGGCATCGATTTGCACTGACACCAAATGATTGCTGGTCCCTGAAACTGAACAAATAGCATCTATACTTTTCAGTCTAATCAAAAACAAAAAAAATTAACCATGCATCCTTAAGGTGAGGTCACATTTACTACTGCTTTTTGAAATTTCATGGACGAAATCCAGTCATTCCCATAGGAATCGGCATGTGAGTTTCACGTGAAGAACCCATGCAGATTTCACACATTCAAGTAGGTTATGTAAATCTGCTTGGTTTGAAAGTGACTTCTGTGATAGCAGTGCTTCATACATCTCTGCACTACTGACAATGGTCCTTTTTTTTACCTGTGAAATTTCACTGATGTGACCGCACCTTTATAGTCAAATAAGACTTAATAGAAACAATTGGTTATGAATGTGGCTAGAGCTTCAATAGCCAAGAAAACAGGATACAAAAATATTAAAATGACTTGTAGGTTCAAAATACACCATTCAACTGCTGGCATTACTAGCATAGACATTCAGCTTGCCAACATACAAATTCATTCGTAATACATTTGAGTCATTGTGTATGGAACATACTGTACCTTTGCTTGTGTGTTGTGTTTGATGTTCACAATGTCTTTTAAAAAATAAAACTATTACAACAGAACTATAGCGCGAGCAGTAAATTTGCAGCAAATCCCTCGCCCATTTAGAAAATCTCACTTCATCTAAATGACAAAACAAAAGGCTGTTATAAACATGTCATAAATGAGCATGAGACGATGAATATGTATATTTATCCAAATTTTATTCTACATGAGATACATATTAGAAATGAATGTTGTTTTGAAGAACATCCTTAGGTCCCATACCAGAAAATTCATCTAATAAATCTGGTTTTCAAGAATAAATAGATATACATTATGCAACCGGGTACATCTTAACAGCTTTTTGTAAAGCATAAAAATGCTTTAATTGTGATGATTTAATTAATCAGTAACAGTGAGAAAATAATTTAACTCCCAAAATATTCCACAAAGCCCAAATAAGGATCTGAGATGTCTATAAAATGCTCAACTCATTTCACAGACATTTAATCTCAATCTTTCCACAACAATCATGTGTATCTTAAGAACATTTGTACTTGGTTTGTGACAGAATTATAGAAGCCTTCAGATTATTTAAATATACCAGTCAATATATCAAATAAACTGATTCATCACTGTTTATGTTGTATTTTATCACCATGAAGAAAAACTGAATAAAAAATAAGAAACAATCACTCGTCCTGTATTTCCTTTCACCAACCACAGAAAAAGTGCATTTTGCAAATTAATGAATTTAGATTTTTGTTAAGCTGCAGCATTTAAAAAGTAATGATTTCATAAACTTGGCATCAATATAATCACAATTCATTTAAGGAAAAAAAAAAAGAAGCTTTTTTTTGCAGGTTTAAGGTACATTTTAAGCTGAATGTAAAATTGTAGGATCACAGTCAAGTGAAAGAACTCAAGGTTATTGCATTTATAAAATGGCTACTTAATTCAGAAACCCCATAAAGCATATTTCATTAGGAAAGCGTTTTCATAATTCTTCAATCTGTCAAACAGTTACAGATATTTTAATGTCTGGAGTATATTGAGGACATTTGACAGCCTTGTTAACTCGTATCATGGTGGGTTGACAAATTTAAA